AATTATTTCTAGTCATAAAAAATAAGAAGAACAATAATAGAATCAATTAGAAAAAATTTCTGAAACTCCAGAATAAAAATTACTTAATTAATCAGTTTTTGATTTTTAAAATTCTGAAGAAAATTAAGATAATAATAAAAAATAAAGTATTCTTACACCTGCTTTTGAAATTCAGAAGGAATAATAATAATCTCAAGTACTTGATATTATTTAAAAGAAACCAGTAAAAATAAATAAAGACTCAATATCTAAAACTGATGAAGAGAAAAATAAGAAAAAAATATACAAAATTATTTATAGAGATCCTTTTTAAAAAAAACCTGCCTAGAAACGAAATAGTGAAGAAGACATGAAAGAAATGATAAATGAACTGAAAAATGTTCTTGTAAATAAATTACATATATCAATTAGTCGGATTAATAAAAAAAATTGGAAGAACCTATTATTCAAAATGAAATTGATTCTGAAGATTCTAGAATATATTCTGAAGAATCAAGTGAAGATTTAAGAGATGATGCTGATACCTTACCACCATAAACATAAGTTAATACTTGGATGTAAAGTAATAATTCAGAGGCAGTTAATATATCAAAATCATAACCAGAACCAAGGAGGAAAATTAATAGTAATTAAAGAAATCTAAAAGATAAATTGGTTGATGAATTGGGACTTCATTTTGAATAATTATTTAGATTAACTAAATTATGTTCACATTAAGAGGATTTAGGAAAATAACATATAAAAATGGCTATTATGGATAATCTTAGAATTGATGAAAATAGAGCAGAAATTTGTGCAACTCTCTTGGTTACATTAGCCACAATTGGTTACTGATATTTTTGAACTTTAAAAAGTTTTTCAAGTTTTGATTTAATTTCATTCTTCAACATATATATTATATAACAAAAAGAGGAACAATAAAGAGATCATTCAAATTTACTTATAATTTTTTATAAAATGAAGAAATATATATTAATAAATAAAATAGAAGCAAATTAAATATCATGATTGATAAAGATTTTATGCAAGATTTAGAAGAAGAGGAAGAACAATAAATTATAGAGGTAAAATAATAGATTGAAGATGAACCCACTTGTTCTTTACTAAAAGATAATAAATTTCTATTGCATTACCAAAGAGTTTTAGAAGTATCTGCTTATCAAATCTAAGATGAAACAATAGATGCAAGTCATGAAGAATATCATCTAATTTTAAGATCAAATGAATATAGTACAATCATTGATTAAGAGTATTAATTTTCAATAAAAAAAAAGGATTTTGAATATACATAAATAATTGAAGGATGTTTACCATAAAAAGTTTCCAGAATTAGAAAAAATAATCATAAATCCAATAGAATATGTTAAGATAGTCCGATTAATTCGAAATGCAATAGATCTTTAGTCTATAGATTTTTCATCACTTTTAAGTGGTTAATAAGTTGTTGCTGTTAATATAGCAGCTAAACAATCATTAGTTGGTTAGCTTTCAGAGGAAGATATTTCTTTGGTTGATTAATTGTGTCATAAGATTGAAACTTTAGATAACTACAATTAAAAAAGTAAATATTAAATAATATTATTAGTCATATGCTATATTGAATCAAGAATGAAATATATAGCTCCAAATGTTTCAGCCTTAATAGGTACATAATTGGCTTCAAAATTGATGGCAGCTGCAGGAGGAATAGAAAAGTTAGCTAATATGCCAGCAGGTAATATCTAAGTAATGGGAAGTGTTAAGAAAAATATGTTGGGAATGAGTAGAGCAATGCATAATAGAAACACTGGTTATTTTGGAACATTAGAGATTGTACAGAAAGCATCAGGGAAATTACAGAATTAAATAGTAAGGATGTTAGCAACAAATGTAGCCAAAGCTGCAAGAGTTGATAATATGAAGACATGTCCCAAAGGAAATGTAGGAGAAGATTTAAGAATAAAAATGATGAAAAGATATTAAAAAATATAGGAGCCTCCTCCTGCAAAATTAGAGAAACCTTTACCTATTCCAGATGAAAATAAAAAGAGAAGAAGAGGAGGAAAAAGGTTTAGAAAATAAAAAGAAAGATTGGCTATGACAGAAGTGAGGAAATATGCAAATAGATTAAAGTTTGGATTGGAGGCTGAGGATGAAATTAAAGATACAGGAATTGGGTTGGGAATGTTAAGTTAAGGTATTGGTAAAGTAAAGTTACACATCAAGAAAGATAAACCAATTGGTCTAAGCAAAAAATTATAATAAAGACTTGCTCAAACTAAGACTTAATCTGGAGGTGGAACAGGTGGATTAACTTCAAGCATAGCTTTTACACCTACATAAGGAATTGAATTAATAAATCCAGAACCTGGATATTTATCAAAGGTTCCTGACTAGTATTTTAATAGAGAATCTGGGTTTAGAACTGTTTTAAGGAAGGAAAGAGAATTTGGAAGATAGTATTGATTAGTTTATTTAGTTTAATTTTTAAACACATAAATATAAATTAATTTTGTATATTGGCATTACATCTTAATAATTAAATAGGTTTGTTTTATTATGTGATTAGTAAACAACATAATCTCATTATAGTGAGAAATACTAATATTTTTTGAAGTTTAGTTCCAAAAAGAGGGAATAAAAGTTGTTTCATAATAATTATTATTAATTTAAATATGATATAAAGTTCCACTCGTAACCGTTCTGAGCAATTAATCTATTAACGCAGACAATAAGAATAATAAGTGGGCAAGTTGAACACTAAGTTAAGATAGGAGCATTATGAAAAAACCTTTGCAGCTTGGGAAAATAAGGGAAAGGATGTTGCCAATATGTAATATACAAAGAATAGGTTTGCAAAATATTATATAAAAAGACTGCAATAGATAAGAACTGAGGCTGAAGCACATAAAAATTAAAGAAAAGAAAAATTGGCTGCTTTGTTAAATGCTGAACATTAATAATATTAACAAGAAATTAAGGCTATGGTTGAAACTCCAGAATAGGTTAAGGAGAGAATGATGAAAGAAGTAGCAGAATTAAAATAAAGAAAAGAATTTGAAAGAGCTAAGTAGGCAGAAGCTGCATATGAAAGAAGATTTAGAGATAATGCAGATGAACTTAGATTGGTAAACTAGTAATTTAATGAATAATAAACTGTTGCTTATAGGAATATGTAGATGATGGAAAAATAGAAAATGTTGGAAGATTAATATGAAGGTATTATTAATTTAAAATCAAAAACTAGAGGAAATGATATATGCTGAATTATATAGAAGGGAAATTTTAAAGAAGGAAAGACTAGAAAAAGAAAAAGAGATTTAATAGAAAGCTAAAGTAGATGAAAGAAACAAAGTTTTAGGGATTTAGGCTACAATGAATGTTAATAAGTTTTAAAGAATTAAGGATGAAATTGAATAAGAGAAGCAGATGCTTGTAAAATAATTAAATGATTAAAATTTTAGAGAGAAGAATGGAAGAGAGAAGAGGAGAGACATAAATAAAGAGAAATTTAATATTTGAATTATAAAAAGGAAATAAATTCAGAAATTGCATTAAATAATGAATAATAAAAAGAGTATAAAAAATAAATGAAACAAGAAGAAAAGAAATAAGATAAAGAAATGATATAATAAGTTTTAGAAAGAGAAGAGGCTATAGCTAGGATGGAATAGGCTGAAAAACTTAGATAAAAAGAAGAAACAAGATAATTTTTACTTAATTTTAAAAATAGAACAAATGAATATAGTTTAAATGATTAATTGAAAGAAAGATTAATAAATGAAGAGAATACTCGTTAATGGGAAACTAAAGAAGCTAAATGGAAGGCTGAAGATGTAATTATATAAATAATTTTAGGATGCTAGAGTTAAATTAATGTATGAAGTTTATGCATAGAGAGCAGAAAATGTAGAGTTAAAGAGGAAATTAATAGAGGATGAAAAAAATATTAAATAATAAGATAAAGTGGAATTATTACGATAGTTGGATTTATATTAAAAAGAGCTTGAGGAAAAATAACGATTAGAATAAGAAGTATTATATAATTTTATTTGAAGAAAATTATGTAAACCAAACATAATTTGTTAAATCAAATGGATGAGAAGAAATAAAGATAATAATAATTAAGAGATAAAAAACAGTAAGAAGAAGAAGATCTTCGAAGGAAGAAGGAAGAATATGATAAAAAAATAGAAATGGAAAAAGCTAAAGGACGTGTTTTGCTAGATGAACTTAGAAAATAAAGACCTTATTGAAATATTATAATCAATTCAAGTATATTATTCTAAGAGTCTTTTCTCAATAGTTCGATAATATTGTTTCTTTAAAAGTTTGATTTCAGCAGATTAAGTTTTCTTGTCATTCTTTTTGCATTAGATGATAGCTATGTTAGCAAGCTTATTATAGTATTCTATCTTATCCAATTTGTGTTGCATTGGCAGTTAATATAAAAAATTGATTAAATTAAATTATTTAATTATTGGATATGTCAACTCCTCAAACAAAATCAAAATTGGTTCAAACTTTTGGTAGAAAGAAGAATGCTGTTGCTAGTGCAAGTATAAGAGAAGGAAAGGGTACATAATACATTTAATCAAAGGTTTGGTTAGAGTGAATGGTGCTCCAATTGAATTGGTGAACCCAGCTCCTTTGAGATAAAAGGCTCTTGAACCACTTTTGCTTCTTGGTTAAGTCAGAACAGGTAGAATAGACATTAGAGTCACTGTAAGAGGTGGTGGAAGTACTGCATAAATTTATGCTATCAGATAGGTAGAATGGCAATAATATATTGTATAGGCAATTAGCAAAGGTGTCGTAGCATACTATTAAAAATATGTAGATGAAACCTAAAAGAGAGAAATTAAAGATCTTTTATTACAATATGATAGAACTCTCTTAGTTGCTGATCCAAGAAGATGTGAACCAAGAAAGTTTGGTGGTAAGGGTGCCAGAGCCAGAAGACAAAAGAGTTATAGATGAAAATTTTAATCACAGTACATTAAAAATAATATTAAATAATTAATGGAATTTTAGTGTTGCTAATGTTAGACAGAATTTAATTAGGCAAGTTATTCTCCATTTGTTTTGCCAAGTTGTGGACATTCTGTTTGTTATAAATGTGTTCAATAATATATATCTGGTGGTCAATAATTAAAATGCAAAGAGGATGGGTAACAATAAAAAATATTAAAGAATTGAATGTAATGTCCATAGAGATCAAAAATGTTTTCCTTAAAATTAAAGTATTCTCACTATGCTTAAAAAGCGTTAATCGTCAGCAAAGAGTTTAACAACTTTTCAAACTCCTGATGATCAACATTCTTAAAATTCTACTAAAGAAATGGGGGAGTGTTTTTCTGAAAAATCTACATCATAATTTTTATCAACAGAAGTTATTCCAAAGACATCAATATGTTAATTACATTAAAAAGAATTGGAACTTATATGTCAGGAAGATGGTTAATGCATTTGTGTTAATTGTGCTTTATTTGGACCTCACAAATTTCATAATTATCTACCTATTGAATAATTTTTGAAATAAATAGAGCTAACAGTTAATGAGATATCATGTTTATATAAATAAATTCAAAATGAAAGAAACAATAAAGAATAACTTGAAAAGTTACTATTACTAGGATTTAATCAATAATTATGTTGCATAAAATCAAAGATTGATTTATATTTTAGCGATTTGAATAAATAAATAGATGAAATCAAGATACAGACTCTTCATAAAATAAATTAGGCATATGAGAATTCATAAGAAATTATTCTAAATAAAATTGATAGTGAGTTTTCACATCTATAAATTGAAGCAGATTAATGGCTTAATTAAGCTAGCTATTAATTAAGTCAATTAGTAGATGAATCATAATAGTCAAAGTTTAGGAAATTCGATTAAATCATTATAAATTCTGGATAAACTATTTTAAAATAATTTAATTTAATTAAAGAATCAATTACTATTTTAATTGATTCTACTTAGAAATCTCATGAAATATAGGTTCCTATATAAGTAATTTCTAATTATATATCCTAATTAATGGGACTAAATAATAATAAATATGAAAATACAAAGCAAGATTCTATAGGCCTTTTGCCTTCTGATCTTTCTGATAAAAATTTATAAAATGAATAATCTGAATTCCTATTGATTGATAGATAACCTACTGAAGAAATAATTAAAATCACAGAAAAAAAACCTTTGAAAATAGAAGTTGGAAAAGTTAAAAGAAACTCAGGAGTTTTTTCACCATCTTAATAACCTACTTAGCCAACTTCACCTGCATATGATGTATCAAAATAGATAAACTTCAATTCAGTCTAATCTTAATTCTCTAAATAAAAAGAAAGAAGTGCAACTTTATCAAATAGTGAATTACTTGAGACTTCATAAATCTTAGTATAAAAGTAATCCAAATTTAATAATGGTATCTAAAATAGTAATTAAAAATAACCTAAAAAATTTACAAATAATTAAAAAATGAATGAAAAACTATCTTAAACCTTAACTATTATTCATTAAGACAAAAATGAAATTATAGATTTAAGTTAAATAGGTAATTTCTATTTAATTATTTAGATTTTAATGATTAAATAATTTAAATACTAGGAGAATATTTAAAAGGAACATAAAATATTAAGGTTTTGAAATTAAGTAAATGTTTATTAGTGGATGATTTATTTCAAAAATTAATAATAAATTTATCGGAATCCACGTAAAATTTTAAATAAATATAGGATTCATACTTTGCATCTTCAACAAAATTTATTAACAGAAAAATCCCTTGATTATATTTTAGTTCATTTGAAATAAAATCCTCAATCATAATTGAGATTATTTTATATGAACTAAAATTCTATTATAGCATCTAAAGCAAAGAAAAAAATAGATGAGCTTAAGAAATATGGTGTCTAAATTTCATTATGATTTTAATTAATTTTTAGTATATTGAATATTGTTTTATTAATTTTAGAATTATTTAGAATGAATCAAAAATCATTTTTTTTTTTTCTTTTAAATAATTAAAATCGAGTTGCAAATACATAATAAGTTTATTATTCAAAAAAGTAATAAGTATAAAATAATTTAGAAAATAGTTTAGAATAATTAATTTTAATTGATTAAAAAACAAGAAATTTAATTTAATTTACAATTATTTTTTTTATAAATCTACCAATAAAACTTTATAAATTAGATATATTTTAATCAATTAATTTTATTACTAAGATATTCATTTAAAATCTTAATATATAAATGATTAAATAAGTAAAATTAATTCCAGAATTAAAATTTAATTGATAAAATACGTTAAAATTCTTATTATAAATAATTATTAAAGGAACTCATATGAATAAATTAATTAATAAAATGAAGATAACATTTAAATAATATTAATGTAATTTTAATTATCTTAGATAATTATGTTTGAAATACAAAATACTAAAAATTCTAAGACAAAATTTAGAATATCTTAAATCCAAAAAGATAAAAAAAATTAATATTATTAAGTTATTTGATAAAATTATTATTAATTAGATCATTCCCAATCATTTTTTTAGGCACTAAACATTAAATGTTTATTTGGACTTTTATTTCTATAAATTGTAATTATAAATTTTACCTATCTGGAACTGGAAGCATTCTAATAGGACATTATGGCTTTTTATAAGTACTCTCATCTAGTCTTTAATAATCTTTTTGGTAGGATGAAAGCTTTTCCATATTAACTCCTCCAAAAGGAGATTAATTATTATGTTTTATTGGAGTAGCTCTATTTCCTTTTTAAGCTGTATAATCTTCTTAATATTTAGAAGAAGAATTAAATTAAACTTTTGTAGGAGTGAATGAACTGTCATGCTATTTAATTTACTATTAATTAGATATTGGTTATGGTCTGAAATTTTCACTATATGTAGTACTAGCCTAAATTTTATTTGGGTTTTCTTAATAAAAATACTTAGGCTTCAATTATATTGGCAATGTTTGATAAGGTTAATATCTTTAATTATATTCTGTTGAGGAAACAAAGGGTCTATGGTATGGTATTGTTGTTTCTTAAGTTATTCTTGTTTGTCTTTCTGGAGTCTTTTATGGAGTATAATCTCTTTAATAAGATGAAACAAATGATTGGGTTCCATAATTGATTTTATATTATTCAGGAACAATGGGGGTAGTTTTCTTAACATCCCATTTTACATAGGATTTACGATTTGTAGTGTCGAAATGTGATGGATTCACATGTAATTGTTAAGGAGGACATTTATCTTTTCCACAAGTACAAATCTAACATACACATTTACCATTGTATTATGATAGCTTAGATGCTGATTTATCTGGTGTCTTAAAACCATTTTGAGGTGACTTATTCATTCAATAAATTTTATTTATTATTAAAAATTGCAGTAAAAATGTTCCGCCAAAGTCCATACTACTATGAAGTTAGATAAGAAGTTTTTAAGGAAATAAACAATGATTTAGCTAAAGAACTATCATTAATGAAGATATCTGACTAACGATTAGATTAGACAGTTCCTATAACAAAAAAAAGTGTGTCAAAACAAGAATTCATTAGTTATTGTATTTATTAAAGATTATGATTAAGTTTATAAAAAATAAAAGTAGAATGAATAAGTAATGGAAACAGAAGAAGAAAACAATTTAGTTTGCAAAAATTGTGATAGTAAACCATTAAATGCAAATACAATATGTGTAGAATGTTCTCGATTAGCTTGTCAAAGATGCATATATTAATGTTATTATTGTGGATAGTTTTGTTGTTTAATTTGTTGCATAAAAATATATCTACATAATGGAGATTTTGTTTCTTGCTTACATTGTAGTTAGAATTAATGAATAATTATATAATATTTATGCTTTTAAATTAAGGCGCTCAAAGTTATTCTTAAGTTTTATATTAAAAATATAAATATTCAAAATAATCATTTTATATACAATATTTTATTAAAGAAAGTGAATCAAATAAATATAAATAAAGTATATCAGAATTTTGATTTATTGAAATATATATTATTATTAATTTTTGATATAATTTTAAGAATTATTTAATCATCGATTAATATATTAACTTTTATTCCATTTTATAAAACTTTAACTTAACTTAGATTTTTATAATTGATATTTGTTCTTTCTAAAATTCTTAATGAAAAATAGCCTGATTCAAATAAGAAACATGAAATTATTATATATGATACATTAATTTTAGAGAATTTTTATTAGAAATTACTGTAGTAATTAATATTTATTAAAAATCAACAATGCTAGCAAAGTCTTAATAATGTATTTATTAGTTGAATGTTTAGTTTTTAGATAAATTGATCTGTTCGGATAAAGTATTTCCTTGAATTTAAACGGAGAAGATCAATATAAAACAGGTGGTGGAGGTTTTTTATCTTGCTTGATTGTGGCAATCGTTGCGATATTTTTTTAATCAAACATTATAGATTTCTTAGGAAAGACAAATATCACTGCAGAGACATAAACAGTATTTGAAGAAAATCCAGATAGGATTAAATTTACATCAGATAATTTTATGTTTGCTGTTTCTATTGAATAAAATAAAGCTTTCAATACAAATCCATTTTTTAACATTTCTATAAAAGCAAGGTAAATATATTTTACAAATAAAAGAACATATGTAAGATTGAGTAATGGAACAACTATTAAATATGAAAATCTAACTAATTTGATTCCATGTACTTTAGATAGATTTTAAAAAATATTCGATAAATATGATCTTAATTTTACAGATCAATACAATTAATTAGGATTATCTACATGGTTATGTCCAGAGTAATATCTTCATTTATTATATAGTCTTAATTATTCAATAACAGTTGGTGGAAGATATTCAAGTGAGTATTTAGATTTCGCCAAAATTGAAATATCAGATTGTAAAAATGATACTTCAAAAAATGCATACTTAACTTGGCATCCAACTTGTGCATCTAAAGATGTTATGGAAAAATGGTTATCAAGTGAAGGTTCTTATAGAATAAGAATGTATTTCAAATCTAATTTAATTAGATATATGACAAATACAGTTGTTAATCCATCAAAACCAACTGATTATATTCAAGGTTATTTAGATGATGAAGTCTATTTTTAATTTGTTCCATTTAAATTATCTCGATAATCTGATATATTTTTTAAAAAATACTAAATAAATACTGATTAAAGTTTAGTTCCAGTATTTGATGATTAATAAATAGAGAATGTATTTATGAAAGAACCTGCAGATTTTAGAGATATTACTACTCTAGGATCTCCAACAGATAAATAATATATAGCTTTGTATTTTAGAAGAAGTCCTTATACAAAATATATTACAAGATAATTTTAAAAAGTTGATGACTTATTGTCATATTTAGGAGGATTTGTCAATATAGTAGTTGTATTTTTAGGTTTCTTTGTAGCATTCTATAATAGATAATAATGTAAATATTTATTATTTAATATTTTAAAGATCTAATAGAACTTGCAAATAAAGTTTATGACTTTAATTTTGACCATGGTAAAAATTCTTAAAAGATTAGAAATGATGACTTGGTTAAAAAGATTACTTAGATCAAGAAAAAGGCACAAACGCCTAAACTATTAGAGATATAAGATTCAAATTTACCAAATAAAAAATCACTTACTTAACCTTTATAAGATGAAGAAATACGAATACAAGTATTGAATGAAGAGACTCCTTATAATACAACAAATTAAAAATAAATGATCAAAAATACTTCATCAGAAATTAAATCTGAATTTCAAAGATAATAAGAGGAAATAGTATCCAAACTAGGTTTTAAAAGTAGAAAAGAATATCTAACATCATAAATATCTTAAGTTCTCACTAGAGCTCAACCCATATAATTTACATTCAAATTCCTTTGTCATTAAATTACAGGAGGGAGATGTTTTAAAGATAAAACATCTATTCTACTTATGAAAGCAGTGTATATTTACTTATTTAATTAATAGTGATAGAATTAATTCTGATATTGATATCTATGTAATTTTAGAAAAAGTTAAAGAAATCAATCTATTAAAAGATTTAATATTAGATAAAAATTAATAAATTTTATTTAATTTTGCTCCAAAATAAGTAATTGCTCTTTCTGAATAGAAAAAATTGCCTAGTAGAGTTGAAGTTTATACGTAATTATATAATTAAATAATTTTAGATAAAAATTGACAGAAAATTCAAATTCTTCTATGTCAGTTGGTTAAATTGCATAAATGGCTATGAAAAAATATTCAGAAGATAAATAAGCAAACCTTCCTGCATCTATTAAAGCATATTAAAAATTATATAAGGTAAATAGATATTATTGAGTAAGGCTTATGATAAAATAAATGATCCTTAAAAAGAATTAGGTAGAGTTAATGAAATACTTATTGATAAATTAGGCAAAGAAATACGGGATATATTTGAAGTATCTTAATTTATAGATTTCGATCTCGTTGAATAAAAATTGAGTCATAGAATTAAATATATACTTAGAAGAAAAGTAAAATAGATGAGGTAGAGTAAATCAAGATCTTAACTAAAAAAAGAGTTTGACGATGATTCTTCAGAAAATTTTGGACTTTTTAGTTAAGAAAGAAATAATAAACCTGATAATAGTGGAATATTGCAAAGAGAAATATTATTTCCTCATAGAAATTTTTGAATTACTGAGATAACATTGGCAAATTAATGCATAATTATAAAAATATTTGATTATTTGACTATTTCTCAAATCAATTCGACTGAGTCCAAAATGACTTTGCTTTCTTTATTTGCCACACTAAGGAAAAGACTTAAATCACTTACATATGCTTTTGCCATTCTAGATACATCTTTTTGAATGACAATATAACCTATTATAAATTGAAATCCATTTTACTTTATGTTGGAATATTATTTTCAACATATTCAACAGCTTATCTTCCCTTTAGAGTTCTACTCAAAGCTTGTTTAGCACAATACCAATTAATATCATGAATTTCAGCACCAGCTAAATTCATTGCCCAAGTTTATTTGTTTTCTTTTTTTAATCTAATATATACATCTAACTGGATAAGCTTTGAAAATTCTTTAATAATATGGCACTGGCCATTAAGATGTTGACATAACTCTATCAACAATAGGTCTTTCATGTATTGGTCCCCACAAGGCTCCAGAAAAACATGCTACTGATTTATTATGTGTGAGACGAATCATTTTAATTATTTTTAATATACATATATATATATATATAAATTATATGAAGGTTCATAATTTTTCATTGGTTTTATTATCAAAATAGGAATTATAATCAAGCCTTGTTAACAATTAAAATAATGCAGTTTAATTTGTACTTTTTGTCAATAACTAAATCAAATTAAATAGAGCAATAAATTAAGTATCAAATTCTACCATAAGTTTATAACATTCTTTATTTATTAAAGAATGATGTTACATTTCAATTCTATTAACTAATTCAATGTATTTATGTACAAATTTAATTATTTGAAAAATGTTTTTGACAATCTATTATAAATTTAAAAATAATTAATTAGAAACTGATTATTCAAATTCATCCATTATTTTTCTCATTAATTCAAAGTTGATTTCATTTTACATTCTTGATATCATTTTAGACCATTAGACAGCTATGATATCCATTTAAAAATAATGATAAAATGCATTAACAACATGCATTAATTATGTATGCATTCCTAATATATATTTACAATCTTTTTTCTTAAATTTTTTTGTTAATTTAATCCATACTTATTATAATTCAAATTAAGCATGTCGAATAGGAAATAAATACCTAAAGAATAATTAGAATTTTTCTTATAAAGAAGGTGTAATAAGTAAAGATAATGGATATTCTACTTAATATTTTAATGTAAGACCACTCCAAGAAGCATCATTTAAAAAATTACTACCTATCATTTTCCATGTATACAAATCAACAATTTAACCATATTATTTAATACCTACCATACATCTACCTAATTCCAATTAAAAATATTTTTAAAATTTAAAAGCTACTTTTTTCCATTAAGAAGGTGGTAATATATCAGTTTTACATTAAGTATCACTTTAAGTATCATCTATAATTAATGATAATTCATCATTTTAATAATTTATTTTTAAACTATGTAAATCTCCTTCTGAAAAATCTATTTTATCCAATTTCCATTTATAAATTATTTCTTCTTTAAATTTTATTTTAGATTCAACTGATAATGAAGATACTTTCTATTAATCCAATTTTAATCTAATAAATACTCCATTTTCTTCATCTTAACAAAATAACAATACTAAACTTGTACTTAAATCTTATGGAACTTATAAAATAGAATATCCTCCCAATGGTTTTTATAATTATTATTTAAATTTAAAGACTATTTACAATGTAAATCCATTTTCAATTGATTATTTAACATCTCTAAAAACACCACTCCAATCTTCAGGACCTCTAGCAGGTCCCATTCTCAAAATATTAATTGTCTAAATCACATTATTTTTAATCTATAAATTATTTAATGATTAGAATGTCTTATATTCAAATCCATTATTATATATAAACATTTCCATTTTCTCTGTTTAATCATAATCCATTTTATGAAGATTAAAATTTAATTCTTATAAAGCTTATTATGTTTAAGGTAATTATAAGATTGATTAACAATCAGATAAAAATTATTATATAAAATTACCATTATTAAGTAGTATAAATAAATAAAAGTTTTTTAAATGAATAAATAATTCTTATTTATTAACAATTACTTAAACTAATTATTCTCCCACTTATTTCTATAATTAATCAATAATTCTATTAAATGTAAATGAATCATAAACTTCAATTTCTTTTATTAATTATTAATGTTCATTAATGAACAATTCTTATTATCCTTTCAAAACTTTTACCGCTTTTCCTATAAATAATATTTTATCAGCCATCTATAAAGTAATAAAATGTAATGGTAACATCTAAATATTTAATGTAAATGATGTATCCCAATTGTATTCATGTTAATCAGTTTTCTTTTTTTCATCTATTCTTTAAATAAAAAATTCATCTGAAGTGTCTAAAATTTAACCATACTACAACCAAGAAGATAATTATTAAAATAACACTTCATAACATGCTGATAAAATATTTTAGTAAATTTATTAAAGTCTATCATTACCTGTCAAAGTTCTTTCATAAAGATAATCTAGTATTTATCCCCCGCGCATATTGTGTTACTGTATTATGTTAATGGATGTATGCAAATTCAATAAAATTTAATAATATGCTTGTAATCTTACATTTAATTAGGATACTATGAACATTTTTTCATTCAAATACTCTTATTCCAAAGTCAATATTGTTTATCTATAATCATTCAAACTATTGTCTATTCCATATACCAAAGCCTATAATATTTAATTGTTGTTTTACTTTAATGTAGCTGCTTTTCTCATCTTGATTTTATAAGAAATTATCTATTTGCTAATAATGATATCCTAAATTCACTATTTGATTCAATTGAACTATTTCAGGTTTTGAAAAAAGATTCAAAGATTCATCAATATAAAAAGGTGAGTTATCAAATTATTTGACAAATGACCCTGGTTTACCTAACAAAGAAAATAATAAGTCGTGTAGCATAATTTAATTTTCAATTTTAATAATTTAATGATAAATAATATATATATTAGATTTATTATATTCTATAATTATAGTAAAGAGACTTATTAAATATGTTAAATTAAATTGAATTTGTGTACAAAGAACCTCATTATTTCATAAAATAATTATTTTATTCAAATACCAAAATTATTTATTATTAATAATAATACAATTTAAATTAATTATTTTTATCAGAATTTAAGTAATTTTTGTGTTTGTTGTAATTGTATAAGTTTAGATTAATATTTTAAATAATGAGTGTTTGTAACAAAAATTACTTATAGGAAACCTTCCCTCAATATGTTCATGATTAACTAAATAAGGTAGCTGAAGAAAACGGAAACATGGATAAGTAGATTTGATATCTTAATAGAGATCATAGAGAATTTTCAAAATTATTGACATTTTGAGTGAACTTAAGATTTTATCCTTTGGTTTAGCCTCTAAGTTAAAAACATAGGAAGGATTTATGCTATTTCCAGAAATAATTTCTGAAAAGTACATTATTGAATTTAAAGAAATCAAATCGTGCAATTTGAGAAAAAATGAATCCTCTTATTTTTAAGCTTGGGCATTTGCTAATTTAGACCTAGTACATAGTCTATATTTAATTAGATCGATATATATAAGTTACAAACATTTTTGCGCATTTTATGCATTTTAGCATATTTTGAGTGCAAAAAATATTTTGAAGTTTTACAAATTGATTACAAATCAAAATATGAAACAGATCTTTTTAAAGTGTTTTTATTGTTATAAACTCAAAAATAAGAATATTAAATTGGGTCAGATAGCTTCTTTCTTGAATTAATTGAAAAATGTGAATGTAAAAACAATTAGTTCATTTCATATATGATTAAATTCTGTAAAGAGAAGAATATGTTAAAATGTATAGGATATTTGGATTCAATAAAATCAACAAATAAAGTTTCTTCAGAAAAAAGAAAGGGATTTCAAAAATTTAAAGAACAAGAATAAATGAAAAAAGAATCACTTTAAGAGTCATAATAAATCTCTTAATAGATAATAATATAAAATTAGAATCCTACATAAATAATAAAGAGATAATCATCAATATTTCCAAGAAAATCATTAGATTAATAATGTTAATTGATTTAATTTTAAGAGTCAACAAAAGATTTGATAAAAGCAAATGGAATGAATCGACCTTCATTAACTATGAGAACAATAAAGGATGGAATTAATCATAAATATAAGGTAATTAAGTGTTATTTATATGAGTGAAGCGTGAAAATGATAATAGACAATAAAGATATTTATAGAATGATACAAATTAGTAAAGATAATTTCATGAAGAGGTTTGTCGAAAATTAGAGAAAGTATAAAGAAGAAAGGTTACGTGTTGGAATTCTGATTGTTTAGCTCCTGAAACTCCTGAAATTTATAGTGATTGATTGTTGGGGATTGATAATTATATAAAGTCGTTTTTATTTAATTAATATTAAAATCATGAAATCCTTAATCTTGATTGCCCTTATTGCTGTAGCCTTTACAGCTAGAGTTTAAGAGAGAAACATGGCTAAAGTCTAAGCTGATTTAGCTAAAAGTACATATGGAAAGGCATTACTTCATTTGGTTGAGTTACACTCAATGGCAGGTGGACCAGTTTAAGAGTTGATCGATGCTATCGAAGAACTCATTAATGACTTAGAAGAAGAATTAGAAACATTAGAATTCAATTTCTAAGTGAGAACAAACGAACATAATGCACTTGTTGTCTCTCTTGAATAAGACATCCAAGATGCAGTTATTGGTATTTCAAAAATCTATGTATAGATGTCAACAACACATAAGACACTCTTGATAATTTACTTTATCCAAGAAGAGAACAAATCTAAAGCAAAATTGATACCGTTATTGGATACTAAGAAGAGAATAGAAAGAACTATGATGAAGCAGTCCTTGTTAGAGAATAAGAGCATGAAGCATTTGAAGCCTAAGTTGCTGAATTAAATGATGCAACTGCTTCAGTTGACGATGCACTTGCTTTACTTTCTTCATTGACAAATCCATCATTGTTGTAAATCAAAAGATTCTAAAATACTTTGAAAAATATTGAAAATAAATTAAGATCAAGATCAAGAATGGCCCCAATGATCAAGGCTCTCATTAGTTTAGCTTCCAATCAAAACTTTTCAAATTAAGATGTTTTGAAATCCATTGTTGATGCTCTTAATGATTTCAGAAATGCTGTTGTTGATCAAATCAATGATTTAACAGCCTAAGAAGCTCAAGATGTTGCTGATCATGAAGCTTATCTTGAATAATTGGATTCTGAATTTGCCGAATTTGGAAGACAAATTGACAGAGCAACTGTAGATTTGACTGCAACCAATGGTATAAATTAATATTTAATATTTTATAGAAAAGATTGATTCAATGGTTGAATTCAGAGATTAAAGAGCAGCTGATTAAAAATAATACACTGCTGAATTAGAATTAGAAAATAACACTTATGCTGAAGAAACCGATATTTACACCAATACCAAGAATGAATTCACTAGAGAATTGGGAGTCAGTGAATAAGCTTTAGCTCTTGTTTAAAGTGTTGATTTCTCAAACATCTAGGTTTGATATTAATAAAAAATACACATCAATTATTACAATTATATTCAAATTATTTATAAACCTATATATATATATATAATTAGATTTGATTTCTTTACTTTTTTAATGTAGTTAAATAAATTATTATCTGCTCTAACTTTTTTTTTATTATTTGTTTCTTTAATAAATGTCATCCCTTTAATTGTTCTAATTCAATTTCTATACAACATAAATGTTTAAAAATTTAAGCTAGCTGTCAAGAAGGTTTATGAATTATAATCAGAGAATTTTGGACTCTTAATTTAATATTAAGTCCATAAATTATATTTACTTTTAAGTCTTAAATTGACTTTGATAATTATATCTTTTTTAAAACATTTCAGTCAGTCTTTCTATTCTTATTTAGTTATTTAGTATATTCATCTTGTACTTTATAATTCTCTTTCTATACTTCAGAATTCTATATTTACAAAAATTAATTAATCTTGTAGCTTAATGTAATTATTGTAATTGAATTTAGTTAGTAAAGTATTTAGAATAGACTAAATCATCAATTATTTCTTATTAATATTACTTAGGTCTGTTGTTCATTAAGCAATTATTTATAAATATGAATGCATTAATAAGAATAAGTTAAAATGGATCCAATTAATTCAATTAATAAAGACGATGCATCAGTATTAGCACGAGCAAGAAGAAGAAGAAATGATTAAAGTAGTAGAGATTATACATGCGGATGTGGGAAGAGCTATTTGAGTTATCCCGCACTATATACACATTTGAAGTATTGCAACTTTTATAGGGAGGCAAAAACATCAGGGAAGTCCTCCTTAAGGTACTACTCAACCTAATAATATGAATCCTAAAGCAAATAGGGGCAGACCTAAAAGAGTATGAATGATTTTATTTATTCAAGTTGGATGAAAACGACTTAAAGGAAGGAAAATCAGATGATGAAAGATCAATTAGTAATAATGAACCAGATGAAACTATTGAATAAGTGCTCCTCTTTTTAGATAGTATTGGCAATTTCAGATCTGTAAGTCTTCATTCCAAAATTTCAAGGTCACCAAATATGAAAAAGAAGAAGAAAAACAAGTCTATTTATTGAATAGTTTTCCTAAAGATTATTTTATTAATAATCAGGATTATTAATCTATCTATAATTATATGAAGGATATTACAAATGAAAGAGTAAAAAATTGCTGTATAATTTAAATAGGTAAAAAATCCAGATTAGGATCCTCTAACCAAAGAGGAAATTGATAAAGATAAAAACATTAAGAAAACTTAAATAAGTAAAATCTTAGCTTATTTTCTTGTGGCTATTGGCCCTTTATTGAATGAAGATGCTTACAAGGAAGTAAATTTATTTTATTATATCAAGATGGCTACTTTCATTGTGTCATTCTCTATCGCACTTAATGAAATGGGTTATCAGGCCCTCTAAAATTATGAATAAGAATAATATCAGCAAGGAGATACTGATAAAAAAACTTAAACACTAGTTAAACAAGGTATGGATAGATTTAGTATCAAGACTAAAATATGAATGCAGTTTATTGTGAGGAATAAAATGGAGAACAAATCTTATTAATAACAAATGAATTTATATTGTCATTTTTACCATAGTACTTCCCTAAATTGGGGAATGTAGAAAAAACATTTAGAATATTTGGTAGTCCAGATGAAAAATTAAAAAATGCTGTTTATGTTACTTAACATTTATCTTATTGGTTGTATGCTATGAAATTTACTAACTCAAGATTAGCTTTATACACAGATGATGATTAATGATAAAATAATTATAATTGTTAATTAATATTTGTTAAATTTATTAATTATATATTATTCTTTTTATAACCTATATATTCTTATTTCAAATATAATAATCTAACTTTATTGTATCTTCAGAATTTTATATTATAATTGCACAAAATCCATTCAAATTCAATTTATTTTTTAAATCCAATTAAATTTAAATAGTTGATATAATAAAATTAAAATGAAGAATAAATCAATTTAAAACATCTGAGTATTTCATTATAATGATAATATTTCACTCTGTCCCCATTTGATAGGCTATCCATATTACCAAATTCCTTTTCGAACTTTGTTATTATAAGTAAATGTCCCTTCTCCATGTTATTTTCCATTTTTCCATTATCCTTTATAAATTCTTCCATCTTACCAATCTACTTCTCCATATCCATTTCTTTAATCATTTTCAAACTAAAATTAAGCTTAATTTTTATACATTTCCCTTATAAATCTTACCATCTGGCCATATATAAATTCCATATCCATTCATTCTATTCAACATCCATTCTCCTTTATACTATGAATTAATGTGAATCTTACTCTTTTTCCATCTTTCCAATAATATTCTCCATTACCATGAGGCATTCCATTGAGTAATTCTCCTTCATATTTCGAACCATCTTACCATTCAAAAATACCATAACCATTTTTTTCTCCATTTTAATAAGTGCCTTCATATCTTTGTCCATTATTCCAATATTCAATTCCTCTCTCAATATTATATAATTTATTACTCCATGTTATTTATCCTCAACCCAATCACCATTATATGTTGTTCCATCAATAGTTACATATTTTCCTATGCCCTAAGCCTTATCATTTATCCATTAACCTTCATAACTTAAGTTATTATTGGTATTATACTAATCTCCATTTTGTAAAACAATTCTTCCATAACCATGCTATTAATCATTGTACCATTCTCCCTCATAAATTGATCCAAAAGAATAGAGTTATTTTCCAAAACCATGTCTCCTTCCATCCAACCATTATCCTTAGTAAATCATTCTTATTACAATTTTATATATACCCTTCATCGATTTAAACTGGATCAACATAAGTAAGTGTTTGATCTTTAACGACTAGAAATGGAAAAGGACCTTAAATTGGCCAGAATAATTACCTAAAGAGTTAAATATCTTTATAGCAAGTGAAGTTTATTCATCAAAAATCTATCCTATTAAAGGAATGTATATATACATTAGCATTATTAATCAGAACTCCTCTATAACTCTTAATACATCCATAGTTCTCATCCTGTGCTTGATTTTAATTTTAAAGCATACATCTATTTTCTCTGATCTAATGGGTGAACTTGGAGTTTCATTTGATTCTTTGATTTTAGTTTATATTCCAATCTCTAAATTTTCATTATTTATATATATAGGAGCTGTTATTACAGTAAAGTGTTCCTTATCCTGTGTATTATTTGTACAACAAGTTCCCATCTTATTATTTTAATTTTTTATATATAAAATAATTTATCTAAAAGATTTCAATCTTTTAATTAGTATCTTACACTAAGAAAGAAATATAAATTATAAGCTAAAATTTTAATTTATTAATATCAACAATCTTATCTTAGTTTTCAATTAAAGGAAATTGAAAAAAACTCCAAATTATTTTTTCATTATCAACTTATTAATACTAATGAGATGAAAATTGATAAATAACACAACTTTTTTATAAATTGAATTTTAAAATCTAATTGAATTGAATATTTGAATTCATAATAAACTTAATAATTATATTGGTTTTTTGATATTCATTTAATTATCTAAACTTGTAATCCATATAACTTAACATAAAATTTAAAACTTCCATTTATAATCTCTTCTATATGAATTTATTCCTAAAGGGAATAATATCATTTACTATAGTATTTTATTTTCTAAAACTCAATAGTCTTTTCTAAGCAGTATATTCCAAGGTAAATTCTTGATTTAAATCAATTTTCAATGATCCTTAAGTTGACTTTTCATTTTTATATAACACTAAACTTCAAATATATTTATACATCCAGATTAATCCATCCAATAATTTAAAGTTCCTATTTTATATCCTTACTAATCTACATTGATCATTCCAAATGAAGCTGTCTATTATAATAATTATTATTTTTACAAGAACTTTTTCAAGTCTTTCTGAAAATTTGAATTTTACTTATGCATTATCATTTAATTTAAAAGCCCCTTCAACTAAAGCAACTCCTTCTTTATCACAAGAGAATTGAGTGAATCTTAATGAATATTTTAAATGCTTATCAGAGTTTGTTATATCAAACTTTTTACCAATTATATTAGTTTCCTAATTAATTCTATCATTTTAAACTTAATCATTTTATTGTTTCATTAATTATATTTCTCCTTCTTTTACTTATTTATTTTGTTATTATATATTTTCTTAAATACCCTATACCTATATGGATTTATTAAAATTTGTGTTAATTTTAGTATTATCAGAAGGTAATTAAAATTAAATTCTATCTTAATCATCATCTATTAAAGTTTTAGGATAGTAAATTATTTATTATTATTAAGGTTTTTTTATTTATTCTTTTGATTGTTCTTATAATTAGTCTCTAGAATATTAATATGAAAATTATTGCTATTTTTTAATATTTTAATTTCCATAATCTTATAATTATGTTGGATAAGTGTCAAAATTTAATTATTATTATGGATACTTATATTCATATTGATTAAATTCTACTTGATTTTAGTTTTGCTAATATTAAATTTATTTTTATATATTTAAGTCTTCTTATTTATTTTTGATATTATTGAAGTATTATTTAATTTTCAATTAATTGTTATATTCTTATTCATCTAAAAAATTCATTAACTCATATGTAATTCCGTTCAATTAATACTTAATTTCTTCTAGAATTTCTAATTATTTTTATTAAGGTAATCGAAATTAAGAATAATATATATCAATATAGTTGTTTAAATTACTTTCAAATGAATTATTAGAAAATAATCTTTATTGCTGCTCATTGATTTTAAATTAATCTTATAATAGTTGAAAATAGATTCTAAAAAGATATCCTGTCAATTTTTTTACTTTTAAATATTCTAAAATAAGGACTTAATTCTTTATTAAATCTGTTTTTCTTATATTTCAATATAGTCAGAAATACTATCTTATATCTGCATTCTGAATTTCTCATTCAATTGATTTAATTTTAAATTAACTTTTTTTTCAAATGTGTCTTAAGATTACACTTTATGCTGGTTATGATAATGTAACTATAAATCATGCCAATTAGTTATAATTCTATTGAATCTACACTCTTTTTCTATGCAAACTTGATTTTATTCAATATGTTTCATGTATTAAATAATTAAATACTAAAATATAAACAAAAAATAATACTAACACATTTTTTAAACCATCCTAATCCAATTAGATTATATTATCAAAAACATATTTAATTAACTAATTATTTCAAATTAATTTTTTAATACATATCTTTATATTATTGAGTAATTACATAAAATGATATGTATTATATAAGAACTTTTTAATCTTTATTAATTACTAAATAATATTAAATAAAAAAATTGAATAAGAAAAATTTCATTATTAAATGTTTTAAATCAATATAAAATTGAAACTTTTAATCCATATACTTTAACATAAAATTTAAAGTTTCCTGAAACTTTATCCAAATCCAAATATTCCTATATTATATTTAATATATACTTCAGTTTTTCCATTTATAAAATATAACATTCTTTCATTTGATGAATATGATATCATATACTCTTAATTTAAAGTTATTTTCAACTTTCCTTTATAAACCTAATTATTTGAAATAAGATCTAATTTTTATGATCAAATTTATACCTCCTATTTCATTCATACTATATTATTGGCTTCCTTTCATTTTTCCATCCTTATCAACATTTTAGATTCCTATTTCAGCTTACTTTAATAAATAGAATAAGTTACAAATGTCCTTTTTTGAGCTTCAGAAAATTTCAATCTAATTTCAGCATCTATTTTTAAAGTTAATATCCCTTCAACCAAACCAATACCTTACTGATGACATAGAAATGCTTGGTTATTTTATGAAAACTTGAGGTGTTTATGTGAATTTATTAAATCAAATTTCTTTCCAAAAAATACTTCTTTAGGAGGTGGTTTATAAACTACTCTGTTCTAAATACACTTAATTTATAATACCTTTCTTCTTTCTTTTTTTTTTATTTTTATTTAGGATTATCTTCATAATAATATTCTTATTTTTCTGTTTTTGGTACATATAAACTTTCTTTATTATTGGACTTATTATTTGAATATATTGGACTATTTGATGTTTCTGATGGTAATTAAAATCTTAATCTGTCATCATCTTGAGATGAAATATTTTCAGTATAATTAGATTAGTTTTATTATTTTTATTGAAATTATTTATATCCTTTTAAAGGAATATTATTTAAATCATCTTATTCGATTAATTGAGTAGATTATGATTATGAAATATTTTAATCATATTAAATTTATTGCATTTCATATTTCATTTATTCTGCCTCATTTGATATAAATTCAGTTTAATAATGATTTTGTTATATTACATTAGGTTTTATTATAAACGATTCAGAAATTGTTGAGTCGTTAAATTCTGGTACATTCTATTAGTAATGAATAATAGATTGTTAATTTTGATTTTCTATTATAAAATTCTTTTCTAATAAATTCAGAAAATCATTTTCAATTACACTTAATTTAGACTAAATTTCGCAAAGAAAAAGAGCTACTTACTCTTATTGAGATGTTTATATTTATCCATAATATATTTCTATATATTATTATAGATCAGCTTCTATAAAGTGTTGATTTGATAGACTTTATAATTAATAATCGAAGTAAATTTGATCTTAAATAATATTTAAGTATGTACTATAAAATTAAATTCATAATTATACTTCTTAAGAAATTCAAATAGTTCTTAAATTTTAAAAATAATTCTATCTTCATATTATTGAATTAATTGATAAATATCTTCTTAAACTTTCATCCTTTATTATTAATTATATTGATTATATTTAAACGCAACTTTGCTTTCTAACTTTTATTTTGGAATAACTTTATGATTCAATTGATTATGTAATTTTAATAAATCCCAGCTAGTTATAATTCTACTGTAAGGACATTGCATTTCAACACAAATGAAAGAGTCATTTTGTGAATATTATTAAATTAACATTAAATATAAAAAATAATAATAAATAAAAAAATATGCAAATCCTGCAATAAATATTGATAGAATAAACATTTATTCTTTAATTTCTATTTCATACTGATAAATTTTAATATCAATAATTTCCATATATCTTCAATTATATATTAGATTATTTCTGAATTAAAAATAATTTTGTACATTTAACTAATTCTTTATAATTCTAAATTTATTTTAATTAGAATTTTTTCATGGGATATAAAGATTAATTCTATAATAAACTTACTTATTTTAAATGATTTAGATTATCTTTATCATTAAATTCTTATAAGTTCATTTATTAAAAGAATACTATATAATTTCAAACAATTCTAATTAATAAAATAATTTTAAATTATTTAATATTTCTATTAAGTTATCACAATTATAAGCTTTTTGTTATAGTGTATTATGTAATACTATTATATAATTGATAATTGAATTTCATGTCTCTAATTAATAAAAATTTTATTATATAATATACTTATTAGAATCTATCAGTTTTTTATAGTTTCATTTAAAAGGTAAGTCAATAGATAAAAAATTAAATTATTCTAGATATCAGATTTTCAAAATTTATTTTCATATTCTTTGATTTTACCCTATATTAATATAAATCTATGATATATTCGTTATAAAGTGATATCAATTCAAATATATATATTTTAATTTTAATGGATAATCGTTTGGAAAAAAATGTTAACAAATTGATTGAACGCTACAAGAAAACTAGCTTATAAATAGATTAAATGATATAACCAGAATCATAAAATTAACCACCTATTATGGTTTATCATACTAGGTCGAGATAAAGCAGGGCTAATATTAATGATGAGTAATTGTTGCATTCCTAAAAGAAATTAGAGAGAGCTCTTCTAGAGAGAAAAAAAATCATTCAATTGAACAAATAAGTAGACTTAGAGAAACCTTAAATGCAAAGGAGAATTAAGAGAAGGAAAAATAAGAAAGATTATTGATACTTAATAAAGAATTGAAAGTAATATTTAATATTGAAATTTAGATGACTTTAAAGGATTATATTTAAGCAAATAAGGAATTAGAGGGTAAGTTAAGTTTGAGAGAGAGAAACATTAAATAAATAGAATTTGAATTAAAATCTCTTTAAGATAGTTTAGCAAAGTCAGAAAATAATCAAAAAGATATAAAATTAAAGTGTGAAAGTCAAGATAAAATAATAGAAGAATTAAAATAATAATTACATGCTTCCCGTTAATAATTATAATCAAAGAAAGATAAAATTTAACTATTAAAAAAGTAGATTAAATAATAGGAAAAATAATATGAAGAATAGAGTCTAAATTTTGGAAAGGAATTAGAACGTGTATAAAAATTATGTGAAGAGTTTTCAACTGAAATGTATATTTGTAATATTATTAAATAGAAAAAATTAAGCAGAATAAAACAGAGATTAGGAAGATGAAATTAGATAATTAAAAAATGAATCTAATTCAAAAGATGAATAAATTATATACTTTGATTAATTATTATAAGATATAAGATTTAGAGATGAAGATAATTAAAAGTAAATAGAGTACTTATCTAAACTATTACAATCTTAAAAAGATTAAACATAATAATATTTAAATAAATATGAAGAATCTTAATCATATTTAAATAAACTTTAATAAAATTAATAAAATCTTACTATGAATTTTGAATAAGAAATTATTAAAATTAATAATTAAAATAAAGATCTTTTTGATAAAAAAAAATAAAAAATTAATGAATATAGATTAAAAATAGAATAATATTAAAATAAAAATAGTGATCTTTAAAGACAATTAGACATTTCAGATAAGAAATGTTAAATTTAAGAATATGAATTAAAAAAATTAACTCAAATTTCATAAGAATTGAAAACCATTAATGATCAAAATAATCAAAAATAAAATCTTAATGAATCAAGAATTAATTAATTACTCTTGGAATTATCAGAGTAAAAATAAATTAATTTTAATTAAAAAGATATTATTACAGAATATGAATAAAAGTCATAATAACATAAGACTATTATTCAATAGGTTTAATTTATTTAATTATATTTTAGCTAACTGAGGAAAATTAAAATCTTTCTGACTCTCTTATTTAAATACAAAATTATACTAAAAATTTAGAATTTGAATTTTAAGAAGAAAAATAATAAAAGGAAAAATAAATGGATGAAATTGAATAAAAGATAGACTTATTATTTGAATAACTTTAATCTACAAAAGATGAATTAAAAGATTCTAAATAAAAAGAATAAGATTTGAAGACAAAATTAAAATAATAGGAAATCGAAATTGAAAGTTAAGTATAAAAATCTTTGAAGTATAAATAATAGACAGATGTACTTAGATAAACCATTAAAAATGTAATTATATTTTAATTTTAAAGTTAGAAGATAAATTTAAGATTTATGATACTTAAACATAATAAGTGTAAATTTAATAATAAAAATAAGAAGAATAATAAAATTAATAAAAATTAAAAGTTTTAGAAGATATTTAATCATTAATCAAATAACATAGAAAAATATGATAATTTATTAGATTTTAAAATATATAAATTTAGTTATTTACTAATATTATTACTATTTATTTTAATTTTATCAAATTAATATTTTAATATATTTTAATCTAAAAGTGAATAAATTGAAATTGATTGAAAATCTCATAAAATATATATTAATGATGTTATTTTAATCAATTAATTTCTCTTTGCTTTGCTATAAGTGCTTTAATTTATTTTATGTCAATACTCCATTATCCAAATGGTATTATATATTTTAAGTATGCATAAAGAGATGGTTTCAATGATTACTCAGTAATTCCTATTAAATATGTTTATTAATATTTTGGATATAATTAAACTAATTCTTATTCATTCTTTTGTACAATATCAGCAAAATCAGCAATTTCTTAAGGCTTTTTAACAAATAACATAATATAATAGAATTGTTTACCTTATTATAAATATTATTTATAAATTCTTATTACATCAGCTATGTCTAATACAATAATTGGATCTTTTATTTCTATTTTATCATAAGTGGAATTTCCAAAATTTTTAATTAAATCTTTTGATAATTTAATTTCTGGAATATAACATAATATTTCATGAACTGTTTTAGGAGGTTAAGTGATATTGCATCTATGAGTCCATTTGATAAATGCTCTATTACTTCTATTTGTTAAGATTGAATTATGAAAATTAATTTTGGATGGACCACATTAAAGATCACAACATGTATCATTTTTTCTAGGGAATACAACTTTGCAATCTCGTTTAGAAAGTCTTTTCTTTTTTTTAGGTTTTAAAGCTTCTTTTAATAGATTTTTAAATTTCTCTTTTTCCATATTTTACAATTTCCTTCTCTAAACTTATGGAGTAATGAAAGATGGAGGTGAATTAGCAATACTATCTGCATATTCCTAAATGTATTTATTCATATATTTACACTGACAGCACATTTAAAATTATTATCTTAATAATCAAAATGAAATTAATCTAAAAGACCTTTTTCTTTAGCATCTTAGAGAGCAGTTTCTAAAATAAATACTACATCATCTCTAATTTCAGGAAAGGCTATAGAAACTTTAGAATAAGATTATGTAGTCTGTTATTTTTTAATGGCTGGTAGACTCTTTCTAGATTTAGAATCTAAAATAAATTTTGTTGGAAGAATTTATATTTTTTCTTTCCATTAATAATGACAATCATCTAATACACTTCTTGTAAATGTAAGATCTGTAAATTATGATATTTATTCTAGTTTATTACTTGATATTAAACTTAAGAAGGTAAATGTTATTATAACATTATCACCATCAGTTTAAAAGTTAAATTCATTTTAATTTTATTTCATCAATTATTTACATTTCTTTAAAGAATGTATAAGCCATTCTTCATTAGGATTTAATTTATTTTCATTAACTCCAAATACTTATGAATATAATTTAATTACTGAAGGTGTACATGTAAAATTAAAAGTAAATTCAAGATCATATCCTGATTTTTCTTAATTAATTTACTAAATAATACATTTAATAGATAATTAACCTTTTTATTTATCACAAAATTAAGTTGATGTTAAAAGTGTTTATATTATAAATAGTAATAATTTCTTATCTCCTGCTACTATATCTGGAATCCCACTTTCAAAGTTTAAATTAATAATATTAAAATGTTCATATAATTTTAGAACCATAGATTCTATTATATTACAAATGGAAATTTTAAGATAAAACTAACAAATTTCTTGTTTTTAATTTTTCATTATTGATCTTACTTAATGTTCTAAATGTAAACATTCTGATAAACATTATCCTAAAACACTTAAGTCAGATTCTTTAATCATATTAAAAGCTCTTAAATTATTCCATTTTGTATAATCTTAATTTAATTAAACATATAACTTATTTATTTATTCGTACATTTATTCAAAAAAAGAATTTTCTTCACTAAAGAAATGTGATTAAATTAAAATAAAATTTCCTTACCAAGGCTTAATATAATAATCAATTATTTCTTTTTCTTAATTCTCCAATTATATTATCCCATAGTATTTCCTTTTTATATAATTGCTTAATATTTATTAGGATTCTTGATTGAACTTTATTGACTTATTTGAAAATAATTCATTCAAATTTTCATCAAAGTATAGAATATGATGAGGTAAATTAAGAAGTATACTATCCTATTCATATTTATGAGAGTTGATATTACATATTTTAGAATAAAGAAATCTCTTTAAGATTTCAATTGCTCTCATTAGGGCAATAAAAAAACAAAGTATATAAATATGATTCAACTATCTAATGATCCCAATTTAAAATATTACTTACATTGGCCAATAAGGTACTAAAACTAAATTAGTGATGCAAGTGAAGATATGAGAATAAATGCAATGATTATTTATTTGAACTTATTATGCCAAATATAATATAGCTTAGATTAAGAATCTCCATTTATGTTTGTTTCTGTAATAAAAATATGTTGCTATAACAACACTGCCAATAGTGACATAATTACAATAAAATATGATCTTCATAATTATTATTACTGGATATAAATAGAGACCACTAAATTTAGAAAGTCTAAAATTTTGCTCATGTTTTTCATACATAAATCTTCCTGTAGAGGATATTTAGTATTTATCCATTATTTAATTTATAATCGAATTTTACTCACTTAAATAATCTTATATAATTACTTCTATGAAAGTAATTAGAGTTGATTGCTAATTTTGTTATATTCACAATTGATCTATACAATTTTATTCAGTTATTAATAAAACTATGTATAATATTTATTAGAAAATGATTATTTGATAAATTCAGCTAATATTCAAGATTATATTATATGGTTATTTTTTATCTTCATATTTAATAACTAATATTGAATTAACAAATAGATATAGATGCCATATATAATAAATTTTAATATATTCTTAAATAATTTATTTGAAAAATGAATAGTTACCAATTTATTTATCATAAGTAATATTGATTTGAAGTAAATATATAGTAATTTTTTGAGTAAATTACAAATGAAGAAATAATAGTATTAATTAATATCATTTATAACTTTATAATCATGTTATAAAGAATTGCAAAAATTTTCATTTTTTTTTGATAAATATATTTTTTAGACTTTTAAAATTTCCTAGGTCAATTGTTTCTTTAACAGAAATCAAATATTCTAAGTGGTATTCTAAATATTTAAATTCATATAAAAATCAATAAATAATCATGAATAGCTTTATGAATACAATTACTAAATTAGATGGATTCTTTGTTTCTTTCAGTCCTTCATTTGGGTTGGGAGAATAAAAAGTATTTTATAAATCAGTTTGGGGTGGGATGGCTACTATTATAATCTTAACATTTGTGTTTGTTTACTCAATAAATTAATTCATTTTATGGGGATCAGGTGATATGATATATAAAATTTCATCATAATCAAAAACAATTAATGTAGGAAGCCATTTAGAATCACTTTTCTAAAAAAATGATCCAATTTAATATCTAGACATTCAATTCGAGAGTTCAATAAATCCATTCGATAATAATGAAATGATCATTCTCCCATTACTTTATGCAAATATAGAAGAAACATTGTATTTATTAGAATACTAAGATGATGGTTTTTAAAGTTTATATTTGGAGTTGAATAATTAACTTTTTAATGATTTTAATATAATTTTAGTTAAATGCATAGGTAATGAAGAGTATTTAAATGAAAATTAAAAATGTGCAAGTTAAGAATATAGTGATTAATTCTTTAATTAAATTGGATTACTATCAATAGTAACAATTTATAACGAAGAATTTGATTTTTCAACAAAAACTTATTCTGATACTGAAACATATGTTGATTTACCATTTGATACAATTTTAAGTAGTGAAGTAAGAATTTTTACAAATTATGAAGTTATTGAAATAAATTAAGGATTTTTATTTTAATAATCTGAATAATATATAGTAAATCGTGGATCTTCTGCTTAAATTTACACTTATACTAAAGATTATCATAAAAAATTATATGAAAGAGATTTAGGTGTTCTAGAAGTTATAGGTTCAGTTTATTTATAAATGAATCCTACAATATTTTATGTAAGAAATTAATATCCAACCATAAGTGAGGTCTTGGCTAATATAGGTTCAATAATTTAAACAATATTGCTAATTAGATATATGTTTTATGCTTTGAATAGAAAATAATTAAATTCCTATATCTAATCTTAGATATTGTCTAATTACTATCCTGAATGGAAAGATATTAAGAAAATCAAAAAGAATAAAATCAGTTCTTGTGTTTTAGATGATAAAAAGATAAATAAAACAAGTATTTAGAAATTTGAGAAAGAAGTTACTGAGATTTTAAATCTCAAATTTGATTACATTAATTTAATATATGAAATACATCAAATGTAAAAGATTTTATAATTGATAACACCATCAGATCTACTATTGAATATTCATTCAAATTAATCTAAGTTATAATTTTAAGCAGATTAAGATTCAAATGAATTTAGCATTTAAAATGCATGGTCTTCATATGATGATTATTCAAATACAATTAAATAGAATAATTTAGATCCATTTTTATTTAGTTATTATTGGAAAACAAAGATGAAGGATAATGATATTGATAAAATATCATCTCCTGAAAATGAATAATTATAAAAATAATGTAAACCAACATAAATAAAGGAAAATGTAGATTTAGTTGTTGATGAATTAAGAGTTTAAGATAGTAAAATACGACTTGAGAATAATGAATAAATGATATAAGATTGAATAATAAAATTATTAATAATAATATAATAATATAATAATTTATTTATTAAATTTTATTATTATAATTTATAATCTATAGTTAAGAAAAGATGAACACTTTACAATATTTCTATTAAATAAATCATAATAATAATGAAAATGAGCTGATAATAGATTAAACTAAAATGACAGATTTTAAGGCAACATGTTGGATTCTAAGCTTTTAACTTTAAAGTTCATAATCCTTTTATTTACATGCTGAACTTTAAAAGGTTTTTTAAGAGTAATTTAAAATTGAAAATTAAGTATTCTATAAATTATACTCAGATTTAAAAAATTATGATACTGAGATATATTAATACAATAAATCTTTTGTGTTAAATGGGATAATACTATTTAAATATGGAGAATGGAAAAATTTGTTATAAAATTAAATTTTTAGTTTACAATTTAGAAGATGATCAAATGGAATCCTTCATTTCATTAGCTGAAACTATAATGTTTAATGATTTCAAAAAATATCTATACTTAATTTTAGTAAGATGCAAAACTTGTTCTCTATTTCATCCATTAAATTAAGAAAATTAAGATTTAATAAAAACTAAAATAAAAAAAATATTTAATTTTTAGAATTTATCATCAAAATCTGAATAATTTAATCAAATTAATGAAATTTAGATATTTGAAGAAAAATATATATAAATAAAAAAGAATTATTACTAATTTCAATTTATTTTAAAATAACTTGATGGTGATAAACTTCAATTAAGATTATACAAGACTGAATATGAAGAAATAGAAAAAAATAATCTAATGAAAATTGGGTAAGATAATTTATACTATTAAATAGATTTTTTATTTAAGCTAATAATAAATCACTAAATTGCACAATATTTAATCAGTATTTATAGGTGTATTTCTATTAAAATAAGGATTTCTACTATTTAAAAAATTAATATTATTCATTAGAGTAATATTTGATAGAATAATCTATAAAATTATCTTTATCTACAAAACTATTCACTTTATTAAACATTGCTAAAGGAATTTCTTTCCTTCATCAAAATAAAATAATTCATTCATACATTAATTTAAAATCTATATATGTAATCCCTAAATATCGTACTAGCCCATATATTGGTCATCTTGAAAAAGCATATTGTTAAATGATTTAAAGTGAATATAAATATCAAAATCTAAATGAATATACTCCTCTTGAATTAAAAAATAACACAATTAAGTATCCAAATAAAAAAACTGATATTTATTAATTTGGAATTCTAATGTTATCATTTATATTTGAAGTATCTAATGAAGAACTATATAATTTCAGGTTAGAATTATTTAAAGAGAGAATATTTAAAAGTGGTCATAATGAAATAATGTCAGAAATTTATCAGTTATTTATTTAATGTATTCATATTAGAACTATACAGGTTTATAAGAACCTTATTTATGTCGATCTACTATTGAAGAAGTAATTAAAACTTTGAAATAAATAATTGAATTGTTGGATACGTGATATTAGAATTATAATTTTATCGATTGAATAAATTGAGAATTCTAAATTTTGTTAATGTATATCTATCAAATTCAATTAGATTAGAATTCTAATTGATTTAAATTGATTCAGAAACTTATATTCAATCCATGAATAATTTAATTATCAATTAATTACTTTATTTTATTAATTCTATTTCTCTTTAATATTATAGATTGATTTCTAGGATAAATAAAATATATTATATTTTTATTTAATAAAAAAGAAACTTAAAGATTATTTGAATAAATATATATATCAAATTAATGACTCATATGTTTAAGTTCTAGGCCCTTAACTTGTTTTAAGTTCTAATAAATAAAGAGGACTTACTTCTAAAGGAAGATTGACTTGTAAGATTTCGTTTGACTTGTTCTTGTGCTGCTAATAAATTGAAATCATCATTTGTTCCTGAATTATAGTTTATAATACTTGTTCTTCTTTGTAAATTCTCTCTATATTTTTTAACTCGTTCAATGTCATTTACCCATGTTTTTCTGGAGTATGCAGAACTTGCTGATTGTAAACGCTTTAGAATAGTTTAATTCTCTGAACTTATCTTAAACTGTTCTCTTCTTCTTAATATTTCTAATGAACCATGTGTTGGAGGTTACTTTAATGAATTATTTCTTTATTGGATTTCCATCATTTTTCTAAGTAATTTGCTATTTTTATCCTAGATTTCTTAATCATTTGCTAAGTTAGATATTTAAGAACTTACTGTTAGTGTATTTATTGACTAATTTTGATATTGAATGTCCTGGTCTCCATGGTTAAGAGTTATTTACAAGAGGTTTAGAATTTTATATATTATTCAAATGCATAAGTTGCTCCTTATATAATGAAATGGAAAACTCATACTTAAGCAATTTTTTTCTTGAAACATATAGGATTAGAATAAATGAGGTTCCACATTATAAATAAATTAAATGACTGAAGTAGAAAAACAAAAATTTCGAAATGACTCAGAGTTTTATGAAATTGTGCGAACTTTTCATGAATTAGTGACAGAGATCAATAAAAGTTAGTAATCATTATATTAGGTTTTCATAAAGGAAAAAAGCAATATCATAAAAAGAATAATCATCATATGAAATAAGTACAAATTCAGAAAAAAACGAAACAAATATAAAAAAAACCAATAAATTTAGAATTTGGAAGGAATCAATATCACATTAAAATAGCATATAAGATTTTTTATTTGAATTCTACATCAGAAAACTCTTTAATCTCAATGGACTAATGGAATCCTCTACAATAATCAATGAAAATAGTTAAATAACCAGAGGATATAGATATTAGCAAAAAATATGTTAAAATTGTAGAACAATAATTAGAAAAAAAAGAAGCAGCTTGAAATTAATATTTATATATTATCTAAGAAACAGAAACTAAAAAATTATATAATGGCAAATTTTAATATTGTAATTATTAATACAATATAAATTGTCATAAATCTTTAGAACTTTCTATGAATCCACCAATTTCTTTTGTTTCAACATCTTAATCTATTATATTATTTTCTTTTAGTTAATTTATATGTTCAATTAATTTTCGTTGCATATTTAAAAATCTTTTCTTTGCATTATTTTTAGGAGAACCTGCTGGAGAAACATGTTTTGATAATTACTTTTCTGATTCCAATTTAAACTTTAAAGCATAGACTTTGCACATCTCTTCTGGAGTATGTTAATCTATCAAAAGTTCTTCTATATATCCTGTTTCAACCCTGAATAGCCATCCATGGACCATTACAGCTAAGAATGTTAATTTAAATTAATTTACGATTTCCCTTCTACCAAGCCTTTTATACTATTGGATTCTTCCATATATTCATAACTTAAGCTCTTACATTCAACTAACTAAGACAATTAATTTTATCATTTTCATCAACAAAGGATTCTATCAAGTCTGCATGTTTCTCATAAACTAACTTTATTTAATTTAACCATAGATCTAGTAATCCTCCAACAGAATCTTATGTCATAGCAGCCTTTACTCCACCACAACAAGTATGTCCCATCACTACAATATTATGTATATGTAAATGTTCAACTGCATATTGAATAACACAATTAAGCTTTAGGTATCAAAGAGACTCTTACATTTAAATCTGTAGGAATGACTAAGTTGGCAATATTTCTATGAATAAATATTTCTCCAGGATCAGTCTCTGTTAATTCATTTGGAGGAGCTCTTGAATCAGAACATCCAATTAGTAAATATTTAGGACTTTATCCTTTTGATAGGGTCTTAAAGTAATTGGGGTCTTCTGACAATTTTTTTGCTACATATCTTTTATTTCCCTCTAAAACTCGATTGTAGTGATTGATTTCTTATATACTGTTGCTTACTATTTATTGATTCATTGTAAAGATAAAATATTATTATTTATTCTGTTGGATAAATGATGAATATAAATTACACTAAATTACGTTAATCCAAATAGCATATCTAAAATTTAAAAACAGATTATATTTAATTATATTGAGATCAGTTTATATAATTATTAAATAAAAATTAATATATGAGAATGATTCAAAAATACTCTATATAATTGAATAAGTTGCAGACAATTAATGTCTTAATTATTGATCTTTTCAAGAAATTTGTATATAACTTAGCCTAATTTACATTGTTACATAGTAATTTTGATTAAATTTAGAATTTCTTAATAACTGAATTTGTATTTGATAAATTAAAATTGGATTTCGGTTGACAATATTAATATTAATTAAGAGCATATCATTTCACAAAAAACTTATGTATTAAGAAATAAAGAATATATTATATCTAAAATAAAAATATTTAATTTGTTAATATTGTTATTCTATTCAATCTTTTTTAGCATATTTTAATAATGGATTATTTTAAGTTTACTTTGAAAATCTAGATGGTTTTAATTATGGTGATGGTGAAAATACACTGGATTTTTTAGTTGGAGTTCCAATAGTCTATGCACTATCAACAGACTCAATTTTTCCTTTAATTAAAGGAGAATCGGCTCCGAAAGCCTTTTACGAATCAATTTATTTTTATTATTTAATTTATTTCTACATAACTAATCCTGGAGATTAGATAGGTGATTATAGAGGAGAATTCTTATTATTTTTTGTATAATCGAATTACGAATAACTAAAATATAATAAAATGTACTTATCATTCATTTAAAGCATCATAGATTGAATTTAAATTTGTTCATCAATTTCATCGAAACTATTATCTTAATTTTCATCTTCAATCATTTATCTAGCTGTATCATATAAAAAAGGATGATTAAGACATCGTTCAGTATTGATTCTCTTTTTTGGATCTTTCTCAAGCATTTATTTAAGTAAACCTATAGCCTATTCAGGAGCATTCTTTAACTATTTGATATCAAAATTAATTTTGGCTTCTCTATTTTATTTTACTACTGTAGAATAACTTTTTCCATTAAAAGCAGATATTCCAGTAAGCAATAAATAAAATACTAATCCAAGACTATAAATATCACAAATAGAAGAATATTTAGATTTCATATCCTTTATATTGATAACTTCTGGTGCCACAAAACCTGGAGTTCCACATCTACAAAATAAATAAACTGGTTCATTCACATAAGTTGCCAATCCAAAATCAGCAATTACAACTGATTCCATCTTTCTTGATAGAATAGTTAAATTTATACTTTGGTTTTTTGAATATTATGTTCTCTAGTTTCAAATCTCTATGCATAATCTCTTTTTTATGCATTTCTTATAGTCCTAAAAGGATTCCCACAATTATTTGTTATATTTACTTTGTATTGATTTAAACTTTATCCTTAATTAAATCATATAATGACCCTCCCTCTAATAATTCCAGAGTTACATACAATGAATTACTAGTTTCGTAGACTTCATATAATTTCATTAAATGTGTATTATTTAATTATCTCATTATAGTTAATTCATTTATTATAGCATTTTTTCCATTTTCTTCTTAATAAGCAGCCTATTTTGCAAATGCCTTTATTGCCAATTATTAATTATCTTCAATCCTTTCTGCTTAATAAACCTAATATTATAATGATTTTTTACAGATGCAAAATTTCCTTTCCCTATTTTTTTATAAACTCTGAACATACTATGAAATTACCATTAATTAATTCTTTCTCCAAGATACGATCTCCATTCAATAATTTGCTAAGCGGCTGCATTAAGTCTCAATTTTATCATATTGTCTTCACAATCTCTTAAAAATTGTAATCCTATAATGGGACCTAAACTATCATCATCCTTATCTTTTTTTAGAATAGGTTTTCTCAATATTTCAAATTTCACATCAAATTCAAGTCTTAAACACTTATTAGGTTGGGAGACATTCTAATATAACTCATTTTTTAATTACTTTTGAAGAGAGTATATATTAATCATATCCATAGAGGACTCTAATCTTTCCATTTTCTTTGGTAAACTCTCNAAAATATAATAAAATGTACTTATCATTCATTTAAAGCATCATAGATTGAATTTAAATTTGTTCATCAATTTCATCGAAACTATTATCTTAATTTTCATCTTCAATCATTTATCTAGCTGTATCATATAAAAAAGGATGATTAAGACATCGTTCAGTATTGATTCTCTTTTTTGGATCTTTCTCAAGCATTTATTTAAGTAAACCTATAGCCTATTCAGGAGCATTCTTTAACTATTTGATATCAAAATTAATTTTGGCTTCTCTATTTTATTTTACTACTGTAGAATAACTTTTTCCATTAAAAGCAGATATTCCAGTAAGCAATAAATAAAATACTAATCCAAGACTATAAATATCACAAATAGAAGAATATTTAGATTTCATATCCTTTATATTGATAACTTCTGGTGCCACAAAACCTGGAGTTCCACATCTACAAAATAAATAAACTGGTTCATTCACATAAGTTGCCAATCCAAAATCAGCAATTACAACTGATTCCATCTTTCTTGATAGAATAGTTAAATTTATACTTTGGTTTTTTGAATATTATGTTCTCTAGTTTCAAATCTCTATGCATAATCTCTTTTTTATGCATTTCTTATAGTCCTAAAAGGATTCCCACAATTATTTGTTATATTTACTTTGTATTGATTTAAACTTTATCCTTAATTAAATCATATAATGACCCTCCCTCTAATAATTCCAGAGTTACATACAATGAATTACTAGTTTCGTAGACTTCATATAATTTCATTAAATGTGTATTATTTAATTATCTCATTATAGTTAATTCATTTATTATAGCATTTTTTCCATTTTCTTCTTAATAAGCAGCCTATTTTGCAAATGCCTTTATTGCCAATTATTAATTATCTTCAATCCTTTCTGCTTAATAAACCTAATATTATAATGATTTTTTACAGATGCAAAATTTCCTTTCCCTATTTTTTTATAAACTCTGAACATACTATGAAATTACCATTAATTAATTCTTTCTCCAAGATACGATCTCCATTCAATAATTTGCTAAGCGGCTGCATTAAGTCTCAATTTTATCATATTGTCTTCACAATCTCTTAAAAATTGTAATCCTATAATGGGACCTAAACTATCATCATCCTTATCTTTTTTTAGAATAGGTTTTCTCAATATTTCAAATTTCACATCAAATTCAAGTCTTAAACACTTATTAGGTTGGGAGACATTCTAATATAACTCATTTTTTAATTACTTTTGAAGAGAGTATATATTAATCATATCCATAGAGGACTCTAATCTTTCCATTTTCTTTGGTAAACTCTCCTTAGATGTAAAGTCTTTCATTTAAAATATTAAAATCGTTTGGAATAGGTCTCCACAGTTTTTATTACATCAAAAATTTGAATAATAATGAATAAAGTATCTAAATACAAATCTCGATTTGAACTTAATAAATAAAATTTGTAATAAACAAATCAAAATTTATAGAATTTAATTTCATTTACAGATTATTGTTTTCTAGAACCAATTATAATAAATATATATAAAATAAATTTTGATTTTTAAGATTAAAGACTAAAAATTAAAATTTTTAAAAATTATCGAAAAATAAAATTAATTCAAAATTTTCTAAATGTTTATTCTTACTACACCTTTATATGATGTGACTTTGTAGGAATATTTCTTACATTTAATGACTATTTCAATTAATCCATCTCATGAAAATATTGAGTTTGTCTAAATTCTTTTATTATATACTCGTCTCTTGAATTTTCTTAGACTAAATTTTATTAGAACTATCCTAAAATTTATCCCATCTCATAATATGATTTCCCTTGTAATTATCTGACCAAAAATATATATATAAGACTTTTAGTAAAATCATGAGAATTACGGACATGCTAACTAAAATTAAATATTATTTAACTTAAAAAGGTCCACAAAAACTACATTTGGATATTCATCTATTAATTATTCAACACACTGATAATCATCTAATACTAATCCACCTAATAAGGGAACAGGTACATTCAATAATTCAATATTTTTTGGAGGTATTGAAGCTACCATTTAATGAATCCATTTCACATGTTTAAGAAAAAGCATAAGTATTGCTCCTAATTATTATACATTTTATGCTACAAATATCACAGATCTCTCTAAAATGATATTTATTGCAACTAATCCAATACTAAGTGCATTATTTAATATTTTTAATTATTTCACATGGTAATCATGAAAATCATAATAGGATTATGGTATTTATTGACTTGGAATTTATATAGGTAGAGTTTCAAAAAGTGGACATTTTTAAATGTATTATGTAAATGTTAAATTATTAAATCTCTCCTCTTTTGCACAATCTAATTAATTTAATTAAATACTCATGACTTCTATTAAAAAATCAATAAAATATTTTATTAAAGGTAAATATGAAACTATACAAAGTACTCTCTCACATTTTAAATAACTATTTTTTGATGGACAAATATCTTATATTGATAAACAAATACAATAAGCTAATTGATTACTATTATACTCTATAATAAATTAAATTATTACATGCTTTTTCAAATGACTCTGATGTTTTAATTGGTAAAATAAAGCAATTTGGATTATTTTCTGATACATGTCTTTTAAAAAGGATTTCATTAATTTCACTTTAAGAATCTGATAACTTTTTCTATACATCTTTTGCTCCATATGGAAATACTAAATCAGGTAATAATTATTCAAGATGACATTATCCATATTAATATAGTATCTCTGTTTTGCCAATAGTAGAATTTCCAATTAAATAAATACCTTCATAAAATTTACAAATCAGATGTCTATTCTATTATGAAAATTTTTCCATCTTATTATTAATGTTTTGATAACTCTAAATTTTTTTAACTCCTCCTCCTTCATCAGTATCAACATGAACACTAAACGTATTTTTTGTTGATAATGGAGGTCTATTATAGAAAGATGTTTTGCGTTGACTATTCTAAGAATTTGAAATTGAAGTACTCACTTTTGTCTCTACTCCTTTAATATTTCATCATTTATCTTACTAGTATGTGTTCTGGATGCTTTAGACCCAACTAAGTGATCTACATTAGTTTTTTTAGTTAGCATATATAATGGGATTGGATCGTTATTTTACATTAATTTAATTTTGTTAATAAATAAATTGAACAAACAAATAATAAATGAGTATTAAGTATTTATTAATCATCTTATATATAAGAGTATTTATTTTCAAGAACTAAATAAGATAAATTAAATAAAATCTATTACTTAAATTAGTATATGAGAAAATATTTAATTAAATCAAAATGTTTTAAACCTATATAATTCTAAACCTTCTTTATTCTTTTTTTCAATTAAAGATATTAACTCTTTTATCTTCTAGGTTATTTTCTTCCTTCTTAATATAGGAAATTGCTTATCTTCCTCTTATAAACATTATTGATTTTTTCTTGAAGGTCTTATATTATGAACTAATCCAACTACACTAAAATATAGGTTTGTTATTTCTTGTGATTAAATCATATATTTTTATTTAAACAAACCTCTAAATGATAAATTATACATCCAATTATCATAAATATTATATTTAGTATAAGAAATTAATAAATTTAACTATTTAAGTATTATAATAGATATAAATTATGCAATAATAAGAACTACTAAAGTTAAAAGTAAGTACATAATAATATTTTATTATGTAATTTCTCTTTATTCATTATTAATAAACCTGAATTATTATTATTAAATCATTTTTATATTTTTTGAATTCTTAAATAGTAATAAAATATAGGGAGTGTTTTTAATTTAAGCTGTTTAAATTATACAAAAATCTTCTAATTTAGAATTATATCTGCATAAGACATTATTTTATTCTAAAATCATGTTACAACTGTTTGAGTAATTCTTATTATTATGATAATTCATTATCTATTCAAAATCTGTTATGTTAAAACCAGTATAAATCTCATCAAATATCGAATAAATAGATTATTATAATTAATCATAAAGTTTACTATAAATTATTTTTCCTTAACAATTAATTACAATTAATGTAGTTTCTGAATCTACTAATTTGAAAGCTGATGTTTAATTAAAATCTATATCTCTTGCAATAATACCTTCAAATGTATTATTTATATTAATTAAAGTAGATGTCATAGCTATTCTTATTCCTCCAGAAAATATTTCATAAGGATTTCCATAGACAATAATATCTAAATTATTTGAAACATTCTTTGTTTAATTTAAATGATACAAGTACCAAGGTCTTGAATGTGGCATGAATCCAGAGTTAAAGTAGAATCCTTAACTTATAGTATAGAATTAAGCCTAATTGGCATGGCTAAAATATAAAGCTTATGAATTTTCAATAGCTGTCCTAAATTACGTCAATGTAGAAGTTACAGCAAATACGTACTTTAACTGATCAATATGAGTTTAATTAAAATCATCTCCAAAAAGCCCAAAACAAAATGAAGAACTATAACAAAATGAATCATTAGTATTAGGTTGATTTAAACATTAATAAGGTATAACAGTAGAATAATTTGTTTTTTGTATAAATTTGTTGAGAGATTTAACAATTTAAATTTATTATGAGGCTGAGTTGATTAAATATTGAAGATTAGCCTTATGTATCCAAACACTATTCAATTATTACAAAGTTTATTTGAAAAAAATCTTTTCAGATGATTCTTCTATTGTTTTCTTAACAATTAATTAACCAACAAGAATTGAAGAGGCTAATAATATAAATACCAAAATTGAACTTACTATTTGTATAAGTAAAATTTGATTCTTAATTCTTAAATTGTTGTTGATATACCAAAAATTTTGTTATTTTAATTTATTCAAGATCATACAAGTTAATTTCTTTGAGTTTTCCTAATAAAACTAAATTAGTTTTTATTATTAATAATTGTGAATTAATGATAATAATAAAACTATTAATTATAAATTTCTAATTTGTTAATAAAGTTAAAGAATTAACAATCTAATTTTAATAGTAAAATACAGTTGTATTTAAATTTATTAACATATTTATGGACTAATACAAAATTAATATTGTTATGATATATATTTTATTTTAGATTATTAAACCAACTTAGATTTAAAAAAAATAAAAAATATATTAATAAATTATTTTCAATTAGAGGTTTCTAGGAATTTATTAAATTTATTGTTATGATAACTAATATATATATGACTAAATGTACTCGAATGCTTAATTTTAAATTATGTTTTTGTATTTCTAATTTAAAGGAATTTCAAAATTGTTTTCATCCATCAAATCTTAGTATTAAGATTCTTATTATCTATCTGTTTTATTCCAATTTGGAAAAAAGGTAGGTTTTTCTACTTCAATTTGGGAAGGCAAATATTTAATTTTCATTGAACTAAAGGTTCCTACATTAGAATTTGATGATGAATTTGATAAATGTCTTAAATCAGTTCTTTAACCAGGTTTTTTATTTGGATCAGGTGGTAACAAAAGGTGATGCTGAGAGGACGGACTAGATTTAATTAAAATATACGCAACTTGTGGATGCTATTATTGATCATTAACTGTCCAAATTATTTATTGTGATAATTTTGAAGAACTTTTCATTAAATTTCCAGGAGAAAGCTCTTTAATTTTATTGAATTCAAAAGACTTTTTAGATTCTAAAGAGCTAAACTTTTTAGTTGACTTTATTAATCCTTCAGTCCAATCATATATTCCATCTAATAGAAATTAATTATTATCTGCAATTTAATTAAGAAGTTATAGGATATATTAATAATTAGGTTGATCTATGAATTTCAAGGATTTCAAATATTAAAGTATTTCAACTAGTTCATGTGGTTAATTAATGCATAATTCATTTAAATCTATATTTTATTTGATTTCTCCAACTGCTTTTGTTCTTTCATTTTCTGAGACTGGTAAATTTTACCATGGTAAACTGCCACGAAGAAAATATAATATTACATAAAAAAGAGATTCTAAATCATCCTTCCTAGATATCTCATGACCCAAATGAGCAGCAACAGATGCATATCTAGGTGTACCCATAAAAGTTTTATCACTTCTAAAAGGCCTATAAAAACATACATATTCTAATAATTACATATGTTCTCCTTAAATGCAATAAATTTTACTAATGCCAAAATCAACAATGTAAATACCATCATTATCTTTTGACATTAGTATATTTTCTGGTTTAAGATCTCTATGAACTATATTTTTATTGTGGATATTTTTCAATATATTTACACATTCATAAGCAATCTGAATTGTACATTTTAAACTGAACTTCTTTTGTTATCTAAAATAATATGCTAAATCTCTTCCTAACAATTAAATAACCATTATATTGAATTCATTTTCATTTCCATACCAAATCAATTTAGGAGTACCTTCAGCATCATTTAATTATTTCAATATTTCTACTTCTCTTTCTAAAGATCTCATTTCTTCATTATCTTCTTTCTCCAATTTTAATGCTGCATCTTGATTTGTTTGTTTATCAAACACTAAAAAGACTACTCCAAATGCTCCAGATGAAATCTTCTTTTTAACAACAAATCTATTTATAAAAACTCTTTGCTAACTACTTTGGCTCATAAAGAAAAATTTATTTATAATTTGGATTTTATATAAGACTCTTTCCAATCAATAATAATATGGATATCCACCATAATAAGCTGGTCTTACTGTAGAATATGTTAAGGGAGTCGCATAGGATGCTACAGGTTGGGTGACAACTTATTGGACTGGTTAAACAACTGAATATGTCAAAGGAGCAGGAGCATATTAAACAGGGGCAGCAGGCTAAATATTTCACTAATACTTCTTACAACTCTTTAGACTTCTCTCTCCACTGCTTCATATTCAACTCTTGGAACTGTTTTTTAAACAGGTACATATTCTGTTTATGTTTCATAAACTGTTCTTGGAATGTAGTCTGTTTAATATTCTACAGGGTAATAATCTGTAACATATTTGGTGACTGGCTTTTTAACCTCAATAGTCTCAGTCTCATATTCAACAACTGGTCTTTAATACTCTCTATATTCAACTCTGGATTCTCCTTTGATTGCTGGTTAAGCAGCAACAACTGGTTGAACAACTGATTAAACCACTGGTTAGACAACTGATTGAGTGACAACTGGAGCAGGAGCTGTATAAATAGGTGCTGGAGAAGTATAAATTGGGGTTGTTGCAACAGGTCTAACAATTGATGCTTAAGGATAAGCAACAGGTGCTGCAAAGGATGCTGCAAGTGGTTATGAGTATTATGGGAAGAATCCTGGATAGAATGACATTCGGAATAAATTTATTTATATGTATTTAATTTTAGGATTTATTTCCTTAAATAAATGTTCTAGAATACTCAATTTAATAATTCTAAACTATCTAAAGTAATATTTCCTAATTTTCCAATCCAATCCTGAATCCATTTAATATAAAATCAATTGTATTCTCATAATTATAATGATTATCTCTTTCCCTTACAGTCTTTTTAGGTCTTTATTTAGAAAATAACATTTATCATACTTTTTTCATCTATTTTTAATCTATCTCTCTTACTAAATAGTCTAAAATTATTAATAATTGTATCTTTATTGCATCCAACCTATAATCAAAGATTCCTTATTATTCTTTACTACTTAAGTCGTTGTTGTTCCTTTGTAATATTTAGAATATTTAAATAAAGATTATTCATCAAATTTAGTAAATGTTCATCACATATTTATTAATTCTTGTTAAATTTTTTGCAGTACAAAGAATAGCTCTCTTGATTTTACTATTATTTTTCTTTTATTTAATTTGTAGTTGTTTATATTAATTAATTTATTATTGTAGATTTACCAACATTTGACATTCTAAAATCATTAACTACATACCTACCTTTATAAATCGAGCTGATTTATATGTATTAGTCATAATAATCAATCTCTTATTTAGTATTTAACCAGGAGGAATATCATTATGATTTTGAAAGAATGAGTGTTATAGTTTTCTAATTTTTACTGCAGATATTGAAAGCTTTGTAAATCTGAAATTGCAATCCTAAAAAAAAATAAAATCAGGACTGAATGAGATATAAAACATATAAACTATTGTTTTATAATATGGCTAAACAGAATACGAGGATTAAAAATAAAAGATATCAAAAAGGCGAAAGAAATTGTAATAAATTTAGTTCATCAGTATTTTACTTTACTAGATTGAATATAAAAAAAACATTAAATAAAGTTTAGAAAGGTTATGAAGAATTTATAAAATTAGTAATAAAAAAATCCTTCAATGGTTTAATTTAATTAAGGTAATTTAAAACATATTTAATTATGTATAAATAAATCTTATTCCTTTTTAAAATAATTTGCTATTCAATACTAGTCAAATATCTTAAGTTTATTAAGAAACTTATCTATAATAAAATGAATTTTTTGAAAATAAATATAAATTATTACACTTTTTTGAGACAGGAAAATCAGTTATTTGGTTATATGACTTAAGTTTACCTGATTAATTATGGAGACCTGTTTAGATTTCTAATTATGTTGAAGTATTACCATTTTCAAAATCACTAATTTATTCAGATGGGTAGATTTACATAATTGGGGGATCATTGCCAAATAAGAAAAAGAGTAATAAATTTTATTAATACAATTTTAAAAATTATTAATTAGAAGAAATTGGATAATTGAATAGTGTAAGAAGTTCACATGGTTTAATTTGGAAATAAAATGAACTTTTTTATTATAGGTGGATATCTAGATAATTTATAAATAACAAATTAATGTGAGGCATTTGATTGTATAAATAAAAGAATAATAAAATTACCAAATTTAAGTAATTCATTAGGATCTACTAGGGTTAGCATTTTTAACGATACTGTTACTGTTACTGGTGGAATAAGTATAACGATTTATATATATTAGTACAAAATATGTCAATTAATTAATAAATAGAATTTTTATTGAAAAACTGTTGGGTATCTTGTACTATAACATCTTAATTGTCATCAATGGCTTTAATGATGTGTTCAATTTAAATAGAATAAAATTAATAAATTTATTGGGGGGATACTCAGAAAATAATAAAGGATCAAAATAATGCATTATTCTAGAGATAAATGATAAGACAGCAAAAGTCATTGAAATTAAATAGCTGGAATAATATACCAATTATTCATTAGGGAAGGATTTGGGCATTATAGAATGTAGTATTAGATAATTAAAGTAATTGTTCTCACGATTTCAGAAGAATTTTAATTTTTGATGGGATATTTTGGAAGTATAATGATTTAAAATGACATCATATATTATATTCAATCTTAGTTTAAGCTCTTATTGGTTATCTTCCCTTTTAACATAATCCAGAGCCTTGAGTTCTCTTTAATAGTGTTTATGTTTAGGCTAACATTTAATTTTTAGCCATAGGAAAATGATTTGAAAATGTCTTACAGAAAGAAGAAGCAGATTTAAATCCATTAATTGCAGTTTCAGCTAATTTTTTAGTATTATTTCCATAATAATTTGATTATCTTAAGACAGCACTATCCAAATTTTATGCACTTTTTATAATTTATTTAATTTCTATTGAATTATTTGGTTTAACGGCAGGAGTAGAAATAAAATAATTTTAAGCTTCACTTTTTTTAGGAGTCAAAAATAATGATTTAGCTGACATAGCCTTCTAATTTACTCTTTTTAATGGACTTTAATTTGGAATTTATCTTGTTGATCTTACTTCCATAGATTCTCTTCTATCTCTTTCATTATAACATCTAATATATTAAGTACTTGCAGGTCTTTGTTATCTTCTTTTATTTAATTCAAAATCAAATTATTATAGTTGTTACATAAACCCTGGATTTGGGTTTATTTAAGGTCTCCTACTAATGAGGAATGTAAGTGCAACTTGAAGTGAGTAATTATACGTTTGCATTAAATATGCTATCACCAATGTAGCACTTCTGCTAACTCCAACAAAACAGTGGACTAAAACATTCTTTGTTTTTCGTTATTCATCAATAAAATGTATGGCCTCCTCAAAATGTCTTCTTATAGGATCATATGCAGTATCATGTAACATAATCAACTAAAGATGGTCAGCATAACTACTTTTTATTCACAATCAAATTTAAGGTTAGCCAACTCTGTACCCACTGTTAGCACTGCTCCAATTTAGTTTTATTACAATAATAATGGATTCATAGCTGCTTCTATGCCACTTAAATATAATGCTCCATAGTTTTCAGTCTTCCCTAAAATTAAATCCATCTGTCCTGATGGAAATGGTGGTCTTGGTTATAACATATTTCTCTAAAATAATTAATTAATAATATTAGGGGTAAAAAACTGTAAAGATCTTTTTGATTATAACCTAATTTTGTTATTTAATGAGGTGATTAATCATTTTAGAATTTATCAAGGTAATGAAATCCATTTTACAAAGATTTATTTTCTGCAAATTAAATAAGACACCATTTAATTTCTAATATAAAAATAAAACTATGGTTTAAATAATTGATATTTTTTATTAATGTATATATAATTAATGTTCCATCAAATCATTCTCTTGACAAGATCATTGATAAGATCTTCTCTATTTCCCCAATCTCCTTAATTAATGAATGATTTTCTCTTTGCAATAAAGCCACCTCTTGGTCCTCTCAATTTGAATGCCCTATAAAAATTTAATAAATCAATTTATTACCACAAAAATCTGTTTGCTTCCTTGAAGTGAGGTCCTACTGTAACAATCTCATGAATAAGATCTTCAATGCTGTGAATACCAACTTTTCCTAATTATTATTCAATCACATTATTGTTTGTGATTGGAATTCTTTAACCATTAATTTTGGCATATCCTCTCTTGTAAATAAGATTCTTAATGACAGCTCTTGATGGATATCCATAGGTTACATATGGCTCAACCTTTCTGATCATTTCAATTGTAGCCTTGTTGACTCTAACAAAGGCTGCATTATGAAGTTATCTCAATTTCAAAAGTCTTAAAGTTTATCTGACTTGTGGATTCAAGGTGTTAATACTATAATATATATCATAATTATATACCCTCTAATTCTTACCACCAAGATTAATTTAGATTCTGCTGGTACATAGAATCCACCTTCACTTTTTGCCTTACGTATGTTATCAATTAGGCTCTTATCTGCAGCTTTGTATTCATTTTCATAAGCTTAAGCATTCTTTTCCCATTAAGCTCTTCTTGTTTTGTTTGCTGCTAATCTCTCTGTTCTTCTCTTAGCAACAGCTTCTCTCAATTTGGTATCTCTTGCAGTCTTCTTAACAATGTTTTCTGGAACCTTTTATCTACACCATCTAATCCAAAAACTTACTCAACTTGCATTTGTGGCTTCTTTTGAGACATTTTAAAGCAAAATAAAATCTTAAATTTTAAAATCAAATCAACTAAAACATCTTATTCATATTC